GGTGAAGGAAGGAGAGGAGGGGGTGAAGGAAGGGGAGGAGGGGGTGAAGGAAGGGGAGGAGGGGGTGAAGGAAGGGGAGGAGGAGGAGGAAGGATAGGATGCCTGAACAGGAACAGTCCCTTAGTTCTTTCACGATGAGGACAGGCCCAAACTCTGTGTCTCATTTTGACGTCAGCATCTCTCCAGAAGATGCCTCAGACCCTAGTTCATGCATTTAGCTTCCCCTACCAACAAATCAATCAGGAAGCATTTATGAAGCACCCGTTATGGGGTAGGCACTATGTGCTGTGCTGGAAAGACAAAGACAAAAAAAAAAATGGTCCCTGCCCTCAAGGAACTTAGGTTCCACCCCAGGAAAGCAATTGAGTGGGAACAAAGTTAGATGCCATTCCTTCTCTGGGGTAAATTTTCTGTCCTCCAGAAAACTGCCCAATAGAAGGAGGTGTATCCCATTTCTAGATATGCCAGTTTCCAGCCTCCCGCACCCCCACTCCTACACAAGATACCCTCCCTATACTCTTCCTTAATTGAATTAGGTTTTTGCTTTAGAAGGATTGGCATGTGGGTCTAATAAAATAATCACATACATTTTTGGGCTATTAGTTATTAATACAGACCTTGAGGCAGTCCTAGCTGACAAAGAAGTTTAGGTCATCAAAATGCAGACCAAAACTCTGTATGTCACAAGAAAGAAAATTCCGCCGAATGCTGCCCATTGGTAAGTCCCTAATGGTGGCAGGCAGACAGGAGGCTTTCCGGTCACAGCTGCACGCTGAGAGGCTGACTCCACTTTCTGTTGCCATGTTAGCTTTAGCTATCGCAACTTGAACTGACATCACAGACTGTTAAAATTTTATCAATTGTGGTATGATTAATCCCCCAGTACACTGGAATGACTTAAATATTTAGAATGTTTCTTCTGCTATGACTTTAATGCTTGTAAAGAAACAAGATTAACTCCAGTGCACTCAGAGATATTTAAATATGTATCCTCCTTGAGCTGTAGGCGTTTTCTGCATGGCAGAGTCATTGAGGATATTTGGTCATGTCAGACCCTATTTGTAGGACCCACTCTGGATATGGGCCTGCATATGATAACCGGATATCTGGTCCTTTCAGAGGTTGTCTGATTGCCTGGCTCATTTGGCATGGAATGCGATTCCCTGCTAACCACGCTTCTTATTCATTCAGGTTTTATTGCCGGGTAATTTTCTTATTCTAAAATAAAGGCTCTCCAACAAAAATTACTATGCATTAGGCCGCGGTCGCCTACTCAAATGGATATTAATACAGTTTATCTCTAAAAGGACGAATAATGTATTTGAAACAGATAAAAGGCCCTCCACTAAATGAGGAATGTTAATATCTTATGGCATGGTTAATAAAGAGATATTTCACAAGGGAGACTTGTTTTATGACTTCTGATACAACAGCCCTGTAATCTGACATATCTGCAATGATATCATTTTGCTCATACATTCATCTCCTTTACGCTCAGCAGCCTCATCGGAGCTCAATTTGAATTCAGGACAAATGAGTGGCACTAATTACTTTGAGGGGATTTATTAGGAAGCGTATACTTTCCCTGTCCGTAGGCAAAGGAAGATGCCTGGGATGGAAGGTGGGAGCCCAAAGGGCATCCCTTGGCCCCAAAGGGGGCTCTGGTGTTCACTGTCATTTTCTTTCAAGCAGAGTTTAAATTTAGTCTAGGGCCATATGCTTTTAAGATGAACGAGGCTGCTAAATAACATCTTGGAATAAATGGTAGATGAATGTTCACCCATTAATTTTTGGTACCTAGGATGCTGGCAGATGTACATGTTCGAAGGGATAGGACTGCAAATATGAAGATAAAACCGATTTGATTTTTCTTCTCCTCTTTCTTCTGGTTCTCCTTATCCTTCTTTTCCTCCTCCTCCTCCTTCTTCTGCTTTGCCTTCTTCTTCCTCATCTTCTTTTTCGTATTTCTTTTCTAGCCCTGACTTTCGCTTACCCAAGGCTCCTTCTCTAATTATCCACGAGGTCAGTAAGCAAAATTGGGAAGAAGCTGGGAGATCAATACAAATTATCCTTGAGCAAACCATGGCTGACAGTTTGAATTGCAGCATATGTTTACCCAAAATCAGGCAATTTATCTTAATATCAGCAAAGTAATGCAGCGCAGGTGAAAGGTCAGGCAATCTCTCCACCTCATAATTACCCAGTTCTAAAACAGGAAAGTGGTATTGATTGGCCTGGCTCGGGGCTCGCCACCCGGTGACTGGGACGTGCCCGCACCTCGCCCCAGCCCGGCTGGACTCTCAGCTTGTAAAGTCGACACACGGAGGATTTATTACATGTGTGCAGGGCAGGGCCTGGCGCTTTCTCCTCCGGCCCCAGACTCTGCCCGTGAAGCCACTCCTGCTCTTCGTTTGGTCCAGCCGTGGGCCGATGGATTCTGTGGGGCTGTGCTCCCTGGACAGGCAGGCAGGCTGGGGGCCGGGCCGTGGGCCCCGAGTCAAGGTGGATTTAGTCCGTTATTAGTCAAGCTGCTCTGCATATCACCAGCTGCTCTTTGAGGCACAGAGGCAAATTGAATAACCCAGCCCCCAATTATCCCAAACCTCCAAGTCTTTGGGATATATGTGACTTCTCCTGTAATTTAAAGAGAGAGGCCATTTTTCCTAATTCCTACATGCAAATCAGGCAGCTGGCCTGCTGGTGTTGGAAGCCTTAGTGGGAGTGAGGCCCAGGCTGGTCGCCCCTTCATCTCTGGCACCTTTGGGGGCAGCAGGAAGCACTGGGAAATGCCAACATTACCTGGGACCCCCCCCCAACATTACCCAGAGTCGGATTCCTGGCGCCATCGACTGGATCTCATTACTGTCTGGGCATTGAACTGAGGTGAAAGGGACACTCCCATTTATGTGACTTTAAAAGATTTGGGGGTAATACAGGGAGAACATCAATTCCACTGAAACACTGGGAAATGTCTTCCTTAGAATGAGAGTGTATGGTTATTACAAGTCATAAAGCCTCTGAAAGCTCGTATTCGGGTTCCAATCACCTGTCAGCTGGATTTGCATGAAATCAATAGCGGCTGGGCATCTATCTTATCTGATCACCTTTCATCAGACCAGATTCATTAAGTCAACCAGTCCTGGTGATTAGCTGGGAAAGTGGAGAAATCTTGACAAGTTACAAATGCACAGCACGCCACCTTCTCTGTTCCCTAATCAAGAAATGTAATACTTCATTTAATCCCTCCGAAGTAAGTCATTTGGTGCAGCCCTGGCAGAGGCTCATCTGTCCCCAACGCACCAGGCTCTTGCTTGATACCCTTGTATGGGCCCAGGCAAAGACATGACAAATTGTCCCCCAAGTCAATGCTGACAGCTTCTCATGATTAATGGTCTGATTATGAAGTGGTTTTGCACATATAGAATTTACATCACACAGTGTTAGGAATTTTGCCATGTCACACACGCCAAGGCATTCTGAAGAGCTCCACTGTTTGCAAAGAAAAAAGAGAGAGGGCCAAATCCCGGCAAAAGCTGTGTCATGTAAAATCAATACGTCGGATCAATGCTTTATTAACAAGAAAATGTCTTACTTCACATTCCTGTGTGGACCTTTGTCTCCAAGATGCATGATGGAATGTCAAATCACATTGGAGGCTTCAACTTTCCGGCATGTTATTGAGTGCGCTGATTAGGAGGGGTGCATGTGTCTGCGCACGTGGATGTGCGTGCGTGCACGTGGGGTACAGGGTGGGTGTTTACGCGAGCACGCGGAGCCCTCCTGGGACCCCTCGGCCCACCACTGGGGAGCCTGGGGGCGGAGGCTGCCCCGAGGAAGGGACAGCCCCCGCGCCCCCTCGCTCTGCAAACTTGCTGAGTTGTGCAGAGTTAATCATCAGATTACATGCTGACTAATGAGTGATGGCCTAAATTGCAGGCTGAGTAATGAATAGATGGGGGCAGCTCCTATTAGGCTCAGAAAACCCATTGATTTATGTTGCGCCACGCACCGCGGAGTTACCCCTCGAAAAACGATATCTACATCAAGAACTAATATACTCTAATATAAGTATTTTCATCTTCACTCGAGTCCTTGGGCCTCGAGGCTCAGTTTTTGTTGGAGTCAGGCAGAGCTATAATAAAGCCCTATGACTCCTTATCAAGCTTGTTAAACACAGTGTGTGCAGGCTAACTGAGTCAGCCTCATGATTCATGCACTGTACACAACCCCGTGTGCTGCTGATTTATGACCAAGCACAGTTCATAGTCAAAATTACAATTTGAGGGATAAAAAGATTAATTACTATTTGTGGCCTGCAATTTCATGAGGCTAGTGGATTGCAGCTGTGGAATGATAGCGCCCTACATCAGTTTGTAGTCAGCCATTCACAGATTATTAAAGCTTTGGAAGATTAAGCACTCTTCCTGCCTGCTTGGTGTGCAGGCAATATGGGAGACAAGAAAGGACCACAGGGATAAATCTGAAGCTAGCAATAGCTGGACATATGTCATAATTGCCAGTTTCCCATAAATCCCTGGCCGGTATGGAATGCAGCCCGTGATGCAGGCATCACATCACGGCTCTCGCGATCGCTCTCTGTGGCCTCCAGACCTAGGAGGGGGCAGCCTCTGGCCACTACTTTTACATTCTAGGAGGTGACCCTTTGACTTTCTTTCTGCCTAATTATGTATTAGAAACAATTGTTACTTTTGTGTGCAAAAGGAAGGAGGGGAGAAAGAGAAAGAGAGAGACAGAGAGACAGAGAGAGACAGAGAGACAGAGAGAGAGAGACAGAGAGAGAGACAGAGAGAGCGAGAGCACCGTTCCCTAAGACAGAATCAAACTGGGCTTTGGAGGGACACAGAGCCAAGGAATGATGGGCACGTGGTCTCTTTGGGATATAACAAGTAACAGATGACGTAAGCATAATTAACTTGACCCCCGTTTCTATTTTATGTTCCAGCCCTTAATGAACCAACCATAGATTACGGCTTTCAGAGGTTGCAGAAAGTGATTCCTCGGCATCCAGGGGATCCTGAAAGGTTACCGAAGGTTAGTCCAATAGAATGAAAGTGGCTCATTGCTGCCTTTCTGTTCTTCTTTTGGAGTGTTTGCTTGTTTGTTTTTTGTTTCACCGTGGGCCCGCTGTGGGTCAGGGACTTGGGGGTTTCAATAACGAGGCCTCTTTCTAAGGACCTAAAATCAGCTGCTTACTTTCGGACAATAGCAGGTGTGGGGCCACCCTGCCCAGCCCCCCTGGGCCCCAGAGAAATGTTCCTTACGGGTGCCTTGGGCATTAAGGAGGCAATGGGCAGTTCCACGTTCCATATTTCATCTCAGCAAGAAAATCTTCTAACAGAGAAGAATGGCTTTTCTGATCCAAATATTTTGGATTCTGCAAGGGGGACATAAACTTCCTGCATAATGAAACAGTTCAATTAAGCATTTTCCACTCCAGTAGCCTGTACTGATTTCCATCTAAGCAGTCCCCTCTCTGATCTGTGATTATTTGACTCGTGTTTTCCTTTCATTTTCTAAAGCTCGATTCAGTTTAATCTTTTGTTTACAAAGCTTTTGTTACAAGTCCCTGACTTAGCAGGCTAACGAATGAAGTCCACACATTAATATCTAGAGGGACTTTTCATTTAAATTCCACAAAGACAAAAGCGGCCTGTGTTGTTTATGCACATGCCACGTGTCACAGAAATTTCATTTTGATGTGTAACATTAAAGATAAGTCAAGCTTATAATTTCCCCTTTCCTTTGATAGAATTTTGTCTCTGGCTTTCTCTCCTGCAATCTCTGGTTTTCAAGGCAAAGTTGAAAACACAAATGAAAAATGGAGTCATAACACAGTGACTGATGGTTCCCTCTCTTCCTGTGCGCTCCACATCTTGACCACCTCAGAGTTTTATTAACACAATAAAACCTTCTCGACATTACCTTTTTAAAGCCCAGCATGAACAGAGGAAGCATCATTAGAATCCTTTTTAATTGTGGACACACCAGCCACTGATATCAGAGATTCCCTGTTAAGATAATCAGGGAGCCCTGGAAGGATTTTTTGGTTGCGGCACATTTCACTTCAGGGTTTTGGGTCCTGAGGGTGAAGTTCCAACAGAACTAGCCTCACCCTGAGAAGAACCAGAGTTTTCTAGCCATTGCCCAGCGGACTTTTGCTTCCAGCTCTGTCTCCCATATAGAGACTCACTATGGGCATTGGAAAGGGCCTGAACCGGGCCAGTCTTTGAGGGCAGTCACCTAGCTCCTTGTGTAAGAGCCGTGAGAAGGCCAGGGAGAGAAGGGGACTTTGGAGGAGGCAGTGGCCTGGAGGCCCAGCTGGACTGAGCCCTTTTGTCAGAGCAAGACTTCTGTCCTTGTATACCAGCAAAATGGTGGAAGCCAGTTCAGTCACAGCAGCATAGACTTAGAGCTGGTAGAGGCAACTAATTCAAGCCTTCCACTTCATTTATAGAAGAGGAAAGAAAGACCTAAAGAGAGAAAGTCAGTTAGAACCAGAGATGTAGAATAAGAAACGACCTAGAGGCCTTGAGGCCCAGGCCTCCCCTTTTATAGATGAAGGACTAGAGGTGTCCAAGCACACACACTTAATAAGGATCAGAGGCAGGATTTGAACTCGTGCAGTGCCTCTGCTAAGCTTTGGAAAAACAAAAACTGAACCTTTACTTTTCAACAAAGAGTTTCATCTACTTCTCTTGGTGTTTCATCCATCAACGCACCTGTCAACCCCAGCTTTGTCATTACCCAACTTCCAAGTGGCTCCATGCACATGGCAGCGCACAAACCGCCGTGTGCAGCCCGTGGTGTATGCAGCAGCACCTGCATGTGTGGTGTGCGTGTGATCGATGGCATTCAGAGACGCGAGCCAGAACCCAAAGGTAGAGACCCAGAGCTCAGAGGGGGCTAGCAGGCTCCCTGCCAGCAAACGAGAACGGTTTCTGTTACGTTTGTGTCAGATTTTTAGTTATGTGTATTTTTTCATACGCTTTAGATCATGGTGACAGGTCAGTTAGCCCAGTGCCAGCTGTCCCGCGTTGCTCTAGCTCTTTTAATTCAGGTGAAGCCGTATTGTTCAGGCTTCACATAAAACGATCACTGAACGAGATGAAATCTAGCAGTTTCAATAAACAACATAAATATTTGATTTTGTTCTAATGGACCCAAATGTGGAGTTCAGCGGCATGTAAATTAAACTGTCAAGTGATTCATCATCGTTAAGCCAGCCGTCTGAGGTTGGTTTACAAGGGTCAGAGCGGCTCCTAAGTAAAACAGCAATTGGCCTTAACATACATTTTGAATGAAAAAAGAAATGGAATAAAGAAAATCAGCCTTAAGTGTCACAAGCAGAGAGAGAGAAAAAAAATAATAGGAGCATGAGGCTTTGGGCTTCTCCAGATGGAAAGTGTGACTCTCCATGAGGCTGGGCCGATGAGTGCTCCTCCCGCCATGACTTCACCCTACTCTTGATAATATTACCACAATATTGATTTTTGCAGCAATTTTTTTGAAGCCCCGTAATGCACGTGGTTTGATGGGTAATTGTGCCACGACAGAAAGCCGATACATCGCCCGTGTATTGTTTTGAATGAACACTAATAATGTTGCTACAGAGAAAAGGAGTTGGCCCAGGATTGAAGTTTACCTCCTCATTTTCGGGAGCGTTCACAATGAGCTACTTCATCCTGGGGGAGTGGCAGAAATAAGCGAATGTTATAGACAAAAATAAAGGCAAGAAGGAAAATAAAGGCAATACCAAGAGACAGTCATGTGGCAAAAACAGAGACTGGAAGGGAAGACATTTCTAAGTGATCAGAGACTAAGGAATTCTCGTTCTTTTTAAGCCTTGTTGGAAACGCTATAATCAAGGCTAAAACACTGAATAGTGAGAAAAATGAAAGGGGGGGGGAAGAACCCAAGTCCTGTCGTATGCAT